ATTAAGAAAATCTAATGCAATTTAGCTTTCAAATTTAGTCAAATTAACTCTCGAAAAGCAAAACATGACAAATAAAAGTGCACAAAAAAAGTATCATACAAGATGGCAAATGCCATGTTAAGAATTTAATAGGAACTATGTCAAATTAGAAGAGATTAGATCCACCAAAAAATAGGCTACATTGTTCAAGAAATGTTATAAGATGGAAGTTAGCAACATAAAAATATATATTCATAATTTAAAAAGTTTTACAAACTTAACAAGAAATTACAACAACAATATACGTATGGGTGTTCATGGTTTGTGAAGCTTTTTGAGAAATTTATCATTTACCAAAATATATTGATGATTAAATCAAATAGTAATAAATAATTTTAAATATTTAATTAAAAATCGATTATTTTTAATATGAAATAAATTCTTTTACTTAACAAAAGAAAACAACCAATCAAACTAGGGTGTAAAGGCAAAGAATTAGATTATTATAATAGCAAATAATTAGACTAAAAATACAAACGACTAATGCGTACCATACAATTTTAGAAACTTTATATAAAAATATACGTACAAATATATATATATATATATATATATATAAGTATAATAGTAAATTTAAATAGCTACTTCTATAGTCGGTTTGGTGCTGTTTTTTTTTCCGGTTATTTTTTGGTTAAAACCAAAACCAAACCAAATCTGATCGATTTTTAAAAATCAAAACCAAACCAAACTAAACCTAAAAAGTATCAGTTTTTTGTCGGTGTGGTTCGGTTTTTGATTTGGTTCGATTTTTCGAGTTTTTATGAACACCCCTAAATATACCTAGTATATTTCGATATTGTGGGGTCTAGAAAGGATAAAGTATATGCAAACTTTATTCCTATCTTGTGAAGACAGAAAGATTGTTTCCCGAAAGATTCTCGGCTAAAAAAAATAATTTTCAACAGGTTTAAATAAGAAAACAACTCAAGCATTATTAAAGTATAATTAAGATGGCCAAATGAACAATTAGTAACAAACACTAGAAGAGACAAGTAAATCTTAGAACACAAACTCCAAGTTTTTCACGACTTGTTCAAGATTATATTATTTTCTTTGTTCTATGTGGAATTAAGCTTCTTCAATGAGAGACTCCTAGAAGCATCTGAAAATTTCTTACACCTTTCCCTTGTCAAATGCACAAAGTAAAAATATTTTTCTTATATGAAATCATAGAAAATATAAATTAAAATAAAATATTTCTCCTAAAGTACAATAGTAGCATCTTTCTTGATTAATGACAAAGTCAATAAAATATTAAGTAGTTTAATATAGGAATAAACTAAAAGAAGTTGTATACCTTGTACCATAAAATGCTTTGGTATATGCCGAAACGAAAAAGACATCTGAAACATAAAAAACAAGTTTTCACATTCCTCACTTTTATTTTTATTTTATTTTTGTTATCTTTCTTTTTCAGATAAAAACGAAGAATCTAAAGCTTGAAAAAAAGAGATTGTTGGGGCTATGTTTTTGAAGAATTACTACGAGAGGAATAGGAAAAGCTGAAAAACAATAAAAATAATGGGACAGTCAGATATGCTCATTCACTCCTTATGGTTTATTATTTTCCCATTCCTCATGAGAATACTTTAGTCCCACTTCATTTTCTGTATTTCATCTCCTTCAAACTTGTAGTTTATCAAGTTTTCAAAGTATGTTTTATTTAATTTAAGAAAATTTCAATAATCACCCGAACTTTTCTACATTGAACAATTCCTCCCTTCTATTCATATCAATACTCGTTCTTTCTAGCTAGTTCCCCATTTAGGAAATTTCAAAAACTATTCCTCAAATTTCCATAAGAAGATATAGTTCCTTTTGTGACACAACTGTTTCCAAGTAGTAAAACAAAGTCGGACACCGAATAGAACAAGTCTATCATTGTACTTGACACCACCAAATGGCATTTCCTCTTTATAGCTGGCCTCTTCATTCTTCCTCTTATATTTACTTCACTCCTTACTCTTCCCACCAATTCCTTTTTTCCTTCTCCACAAGGAATTATGGAACATTGAGCTATTGTAATCACAAACTCTGTACTACACTTTCTTTTGTCACGCCTAATTATTTATAATCTTGTTCAACTTTTTACGAGCACGTATAAAGTGATCATCGAAGAAGATGGATCGACTATTAAGCTTAGAACCATCAAATCTTGTGACGATAAGACTTGAACCAGGTCAAAAGTGTTCTGGAGAATTAACTCTCCGTAACGTCATGTACACCATGCCAGTGGCTTTCCGACTACAGCCAGTGAACAAGACACGTTACTCGATCCGTCCTCAATCGGGTATCATCTCACCATTAACCACAATCACATTGGAGATCATTTACCATCTCCCTCCAAACACAACTCTCCCTAATTCTTTCCCTCACTCTGATGATTCATTCCTCTTACGTAGTGTTGTTGCCCCTGGAGCTGCTATAAATAAGGACCCTTGTTCCACTTTAGACATGGTCCCAAGTGATTGGTTCACAACTAAGAAAAAACAAGTTTTCATTGATAGTGCTATTAAAATCATGTTTGTTGGTTCACCTGTATTGTGTTATCTTGTAAAAAAAGGTTATATGGATGAAATTAGGGAAGTATTAGAAAAAAGTGACCCTAATTGGAAACCAGTTGATTCAGTTGACTTTGAAGGTCAAACTTTACTTCATTTAGCTATTTCACAAAGCAGGCCTGATCTTGTACAATTGTTACTTGAATTTGGACCTAATATTGAGGCCCATAGTAAATCATGTTCAAGACCACTTGAAACAGCAGCAGCAACAGGAGAATCACTAATTGTTGAACTCTTATTAGCTAAAAAAGCAAGCACAGAAAAAACAGAGTTCTCTGCTTCTGGCCCAATACATTTAGCAGCAGGAAATGGTCATTTGGAAGTAGTAAAACTGCTTCTACTCAAAGGGGCTAATGTGAATGCACTAACAAAAGACGGGAACACGGCTTTGCACCTCGCTGTTGAAGAACGAAGGAGAGATTGTGCGCGTCTTTTGTTGGCGAATGGTGCTGGAGCTGATGTGCGGAATGCTAGGAATGGTGACACGCCTTTGCATATTGCTTCTGGTTCGGGAGATGAACAGATGGTTCGGGTTTTACTTCAAAAGGGAGCTGAGAAGAATATACGTAACAAGTATGGCAAAACGGCTTATGATGTTGCTGCTGAACATGGCCATAACAAGCTCTTTGACGCCCTCCGTTTAGGTATCAGATTTTAATTAACTCAACATACTTTTTTTTTACTCCACCTATATATAGTACATACCCACATTTTCACATTAAAAAAATATCTAAAAATAGCTACTATATATTACTCCTAGCAAATAATTTTAATTATATACATGGATCGTATAAAGAATTTTTACACTAAAAGTATATTTAACATGTAACTGTAACAAGTGATCTATCTCATTTCTCAGGCTAGTAATCCATCTTATTATATACTGATGTTACGTTCTTTAGTTATCTAGTGTATAAAGAAGTTCAACTTATGCACTTTCAGTGGATCTTTTTTTTTTTTTTTTTTTTTTTTTTTTTTTTTTTTTTTTGCATTATCAAGTCAAGATAACTTAAAATGACAATTGTTAGCAGTAGACATAATTTGATAATCTAAAAAATAAAGTAAATAACCCGATGTAACCAGTTAAAACATTTTTAGCACAAAAATTCTTTAGTGTCCATGCATATGACTTAAATCGTAAAAAATGTATTGCACCCATTGACTCTAAAAAATGACGATGACAACAACAATAATAATTATAATAATAGATTGCACTCATAGGCTCTAATTTCTTGATTTGCCACTGTAGGGGACAGCCTATGTGTGGCGGCTAGAAAAGGAGAGGTAAGAACCATACAAAGGCTGCTAGAGAATGGAGCTAACATAAATGGACGTGACCAACACGGTTGGACTGCATTGCACAGGGCATGTTTCAAAGGAAGAATAGAAGCTGTAAAGGCATTAATAGACCATGGAATTGATGTAAATGCAAGGGATGAAGATGGATACAGTGGATTGCACTGTGCAGTGGAATCTGGTCATGTTGATGTAGCCGAGTTGCTAATTAAAAAAGGTGCAGACATTGAGTCAAGAACTAGTAAAGGGATTACTGCATTGCAAATTGCAGAGTCACTTCATTATTCTGGTCTCACTAGAGTACTCATGCAAGGAAGTGTAGTTAAAGAACAAGTTGGGACAATGGAGATAAATTTTGTGAAATCATCTGGGAAAATGGCTGTTAAAGATATAGAAATTGGGAATGTCAAGAAAAGATCTATTAATAAATCAAGAGTTCGGAGGAGTAGCTTTGATAGAACTGTTCCATTGGCTGTTGTGTGATAAATTCTTGAAGCTAAATGAACTGAAAATTCCATTATTTGTTGAGGAAAGAATGTTTCATTCTCTTGTTGATTTGGGCGATCGGAGTAGATATTATATAAAAGAACAGCTGAGTGCACTAAAATCTATTATGTGTAAAATTGTCAGATTCGTCCAGTCATCAGTAGTAAGTTATTAGGTTTTAATAATTGTAGTTTCTCTATTCCAACGCCAATATCTTCCACTTTTCGCCTATTGTTGTTGTATCTGCTTGTTGGATGGTTGTTACTTATTATATTGTATCGTATTGTTACTTTAAATACAATATTTATTTTGATTGTTACTTAAATTTTATTGAATCGTATCATTAAATCCGTCATTAAGTGACGATTAAAAATGTCATTTTATGTAACAACCGACTTGATGTGGTCGCATAATTACTATTGTGACCCACAAAGCTGACGTGGGAGACACATCAAATGCCACAGTGGACGCACTACAAAAAAACGAGTAAATTGCGGAGGTTTATTTGCAATTTGCATAATTTTGCGGCAATTTATTAGACCCCACAATATTATACAATTTACGAGGAATATAAACTTCTGCAACCCTAAAATAATAGCGCATAATTTATTTTACACTCCCTCCTTTTCCTCCCAACCTTTTCGGTCTAGAAACTTCTGCCTTTCACAGATACTTCATAGACTCTTTCTCTCTCCGCATGAAGTCTTTGAATTGAAATTCTCTCTATGCAATATTTAGGGATTATGCAAGCTTGAAGAAACATGATTTGATAAAACCAGAACGTGTTTACTTGTCAAAAAAAAGGTCAGAGTCACATTAATTTTGCTTGAATCTTGACGAATAGAGGAAGTTCTGTTCATCAAAGAAATCTTACAAGTTTTACAGTGGAAAGAATCACATAATAGCCAAGCAAACCACTTATCAAACACAAAGGTTATTCCCGGTTCTTCCTATTTGTATTTTGGCTTTGGATTCATTATTAATTTATGTTAGATGCTTTTGGATTCAGCCACTAAATCCTCTCACTTACCATTTTATCCAGATGAAACCTAGCAATTTTGCTGTTGTGAATAGTTTAATCGTGAAGTTGAAGGGCAATTCTTATATATCCCCAAAAGAAAAAAAAACTGCCCTATTAGGATCTTAACCATGATTAGGATAATGAATATTTTCATACATTTTCCCAATTACTACTTGTGTTAGATGCCTTTTGATTTGTTACCAAAATTTTCCTTTCTTCATTATTAATTGAAGTATTTTTTTAATAGTTGTGAATAATTTTAAAAGTATATATGCACTTTTGTACATGCACGTATGGTAAATCGTAAGAGAAGTTTTCTTTTTTTACTTATTCTTTGCTAAATATTGGTTAACTTTGCTGAAATTCTAAGGATTTGAAATGTAGTACTTTTTTTCTTACAATCACTATGCATTTTTTTCTTACTTTTGGTTGATCCTTAAAAAATCTAAAACCACACTTACTATTTAGAGTTTTGACATTGAAATTACCCTATTTGTGTAGGTATAATGTTTTAAAGTTGGCCAGGTCCTTATACTGTTCAGAATTTCTTTTTTACTTTTTTTTTTCTTTTTTTCTTTTATTGTTTTAGGTAAGTAATTTAGAAAATTTGGATTACATGATGGAAAATCTGTTCCAGGCTAGTTTCTTCTATTTCTGGGTTTTTGAATTTGATTATAGGCACAAAATTTTGCTTAACATCTAAGAATCATTCACTTTTACTTTTCTCTCATGGAGTTTGATTTGAAAAATAAAAACTGAATCTGACGTTCTCTATATTTGTAATTCTGCTTTATTTTAGTTTTGTAACGACCCAACCGGTCATTTCATGTATCATATCCCCTCTTTCCCCGTTTCTGCTTCTTCATGTGTTGTTCAGTTGTATTTCACCATATCATGTTGGTTGTGTTATGTTCGGAGTGGTCTTAGAGTGGGATGAGACACTTAGTTTCTTATTTAGAAGCTTAAGTTGGAAAAGTCATCCGGATGTTGACTTATGAGTAGAAGGTCTTGGATGTGAATTCTGATGGTTCGGATAGCTTTGTTAGGTGATTTTGGACTTATGAGCGTGTTCAGAATGTATTTTGGAGGTCTGTGATATATTTAGACTTGAATTGGCGAAATTGGAAATTGGCGTTTTTTGGTCGGCAGTGAAAATTTTGATATAGGGGTCAGAATAGAATTCCGAAAATTGGAATAGGTCCGTTGTGTTATTTGTGATGTGTGCGCAAAATTTCAGGTCATTCGGATGTAGTTTGATAGGTTTTGTATCATTTGCGGAATTCGAAAGTTTTGAAATCCTTAGGCTTGAATTCGAGGTCGATTTGGTGTTTCGATGTTGTTTTGAGTGTTCCGAAGGTTGGAATAAGTTGGAATGGTGTTATGTGACTTGTTTGTATTTTTGGTTGAGGTCCCGGGGGTCCTCGGAATGATTTCGAAAAGTTTGAACTTGAGAAATTGCAGCTGGTGCTGCTGCCTCTGTCATATCTACACCTGCGGATTGACGATCGCAGGTGCGAGCTCCGCAAGAGTGAAAAAAGCCGCAGGTGCGTGGAGGACCGCAAGTGCGGCTTGGTGAACGACATCTGCGATGCCGCAGGAGCGGTAAGGCGACCGTATATGCGAGGGTTGTAATGTTAAGTGAAATCTGCAAAAGCGGATATATTTCCGCAGAAGTGGAAGCGCAGGTGCGCTTATGGGATCGCAGGTGCGGAATCCTTGGGGCAGAAAGTATATAAGCTCCCTTTCGTGAATTTCAATTATTTTTCCATCATTTTTGGACGATTTTAGGCTTCAAGCTGTGATTTCAAGAGAGAATCAAGTGTTTTCAGAGAGGTAAGCTACTTGGGTCTTGTATCTTATGTTTATGGTTATTATTCCATTGTTTAATTATGAAATTAGTGGGAAAATTTGAGAAGAAATTGGGAGACTAGGGCTTGAAATTGGAGAGTTTAAATTGGGGATTTGAGGGGTCATTTGAGGTTCAATTTTGATGATTTTGGTATGTATAGACTCGTGAGAGGATAATGATTCTAGTGTTGTGATTTTTATCGAATTTCGAGACGTGAGCCCGGGGGTCGGGTTTGGCCAATTTCGAGAATTTTGATTTAATTTGATAATTTTTGTGTAGGCTTTGTTCCTTTGGCATGTATTGATGATATCATTCTAATTTTGGATAGATTCGGGGCGATTCGAGGCCTAGTCGAGAGGCAAGGGCATTGCGGAGTAGATTTTCGTCTGGTTGGAGGTAAGTAACGATTGTAAATCTAGACCTGAGGGTATAAAACCTCAGAATTTTGTACTATTTTGATAAATAAGGTGACGCACATACTAGGTGACGAGCGTGCACTTGCAAAGATTGTGACTTGGTCCGTCCCATGACAACTGTATAGTTGCATATTTCAATAAACTCTATATGATATCTATGTGTTTACAAATAAATTTGTTAACTTGGGCTGAATGCCATGTTTGGGGCCTTGTGTCGTACTGTTTGGACCCTCAAGTGATATTTTACTACTATCATCACACCGTTTGGATTCGAAAGCATATCCTTAGTCATGATTTTTATTTGTTTATTGTTTGATTCAGTTTCATTACTCTACTTTTAAATATATAAAAACTGTTTGGGCTGAGTTCCCTGATTTTTTTACTGAAATGCCCGAATGGCTGTGAGGTTGATGACTGAGAGAGGGCGAGGGCCTAATGGTGAGGATTATATATTTATGGATCGGGTTGCACGCCGCAGCGGTATATATATATATATATATGTGTGTGTGTGTGTGTGTGTGTGTGTGTGTGTGTGTATTGTAG